AGACTTAAAATAACTTAAAAATATGTTTTCAGGCAGACCTAAATTGTGATTTAAAAGACCATTTTAGCCTTTTTAAAGACTTTTCACTCTGTTTAAGGCTGCTGCCCATAAGCCTTTAAGAAAAAGTGGCCACAGCATTTACAGAGCTGAGGACTCTTGAAATCTTGCTTCATAAAGCCTCAGAACAGAAGAATATAAAAGCTTAGCTTAGACACGAACCTGGTCCTCTAGCTGGGTGAATCACCTGGTCTAATCTATGCATCTGACATCATAAAAAACTAGCTTATACTTACAGAAGATTTTCACAATTGATCTGAAGTGATAAAGTTTTACATGTTTTAAAACTAATGATTTTGCCTAAAATTTCCTCATTTTCCTCCTTCTGCAATTTTTAAGAGTGAGATTGTCTCAATGCTTTTTACTTTGCATATTCCCACTACCATTAAATTAAGAGTTCTTTTTGATGTATCTCATTTCTGTGGTACTTGGGATTTTTAATAGATTAAAAAAATTAGCAGTTCCTAAGCATTTATTGGGAGCATGACTCTAATGACTCCATGAGACACTAGTTTGAAACCACATAAATCACTGCAGAAGAAATCACCTTGTGGGATCAGTGCAGGGAATCCAGTTCACCGCTGGATCAGGGATATCCTCCAGGTAGGGGTAGATGGTTTCTCTTGTGAAACGCCAGCCGTAAATGCCGTCTTCAGGAGTCACAATGATGTGGGCACCCTGACACAACAGGCTCCGTTAAGAATTCACCCATCAACAGATAACCAGGAGGGACAGCAGGAGGAGAAAACACTAAGCAACAATGCTCATGATAGACTTAGTACCTGCTGGGCGGCTTCCTTGATGGCCCCTTCCAAGACATCCATGTTTCTGTTCATCAGGGCCAAAGCATCGTCGGGGGAAATGGGCTCGTCAGTGGCATCTGGCAGGATGACCGCGTGCTCGTAGACGGCTGCAATGAAGGTGTCGGAGGCGAGGGCCTGAAGGACTGCGAGTGCAAACACCGCAGCGTGCAGGAGAGGCTGGGAAGGGAGCATGGCTGCTGCCTCGCAGCTTCTGGATCGGGCATGGGAAATATAAACGGGATAGAAAGAGGAGGAGTAAAGACTAATATGTGTGCTTTGGAAATAATCTTCTATTGAGTAATCTGGGAAGGTACAATATAGTTCTGCCAACAATCAGGACATTTATTTATAGTAAGAAGTCAAAGAAACATTTCTAGGAATTGGATCTTGTTTCCAATTTGAAACGCTGTAAATAAAATGTGAACAAAACGCTAAGAGAGCATGTCAGAAGCCATGCTGATCTACAAGAGTCTCCATGGAAGAAGCACTTACACACTCCATTCGTAGATCCCTCTCCAAGCTTCCAAACCCATCTCAGGGTGAGCCCAGACTCTTGTGGTTAGGGCACACTACTCCATATAAGCTTAATGCATGTGGCTGCCATCGGTTAACAATTCAGCCAGGGCTGAAGGCAGACCACCTGCGTGAAGTACAGCCCTCACGCTTCAGAGTGTAGCTGATTCAGCTATGCTTATAAGACACATAATCCTGCCATGCCTCTTGCCTTTGGCCAATGGCTTATTATAGTTGTAGCAGGTGCCCTGAGAGTGTCCTCCCCCTGGGTTCATACTGCAATATAAACTAACCCTTGAACTGTGCTGATCTCTCTGCCTAGAGCTAACATACTCACTTGTTTTGTGAGAAAGAATTAAACAACACAGATTTTTTTTTAAATATTTTTGTTATGAAGGGCATTTTATGCACAATAAGCAATGTGAAATTACTCATACAAAGTAGTTTTTTTCTCACAAAAAGCAATTTTTGCATAGTATTTTGGAAATAGAATATTACTACTATAATTTCAGGTGCTTCATAAAAAAACCTTTGTTAGAACCTGCGGTATGTCTGTGAGAGTAAAGGAACATAACCTGGCTAATCATTTACCGCTCAGCAAGAAACAAAGGAAAATATTCTTCATCCTGACAATATCATCTTCTTCACTATGCAGTTTCACCCACTAGTCTTATTTTTGTCCATCAGCATCAAGGCCTCCTTAGGAGAAAACCGGCACTTCAGTGTCCTCTGACAAGACGACGTTGTGCTCGTAGACGGCTGCAACATAGTTGACCAGGGCACAGGCCTCCAGAGCAGACAGCACCAAAAGCAGGGCAGAGGCACAAGCTTTAGGAAGCCCCATGTCTGGAGCTGGAAGTCGCCCAAGAGGAGGTCGGGGGCAAGCACAGACAGGGGGCTTTAGAAGGGAAAGTCTTGCACAAAACCTGGGAATTCCCCAGAGTGGCAGAAAGCTGGCACCAGGAGATGCAATCACCCTGCCCGGAAAGTCTCACAACATCAAAGGCAAGAGAGCCACCAGCATTGAGCAATTCCACCTTACGCCACCGACAGAGAAGTCACCACTGTGCTGCAGCTGAAGAAACAACGTCGGTTGCCAGGTTAACAAACGATTCAGGCGTGGCATTGCTGTAGTAACGCAGCTCAAGGCAAGCCAGGGTCACAGCAGGAAAACAAGCAGAGTTTGGGAAATCTCAGCAAAGACCAGCATGGACACATTCCTGCCCAAACTCAAGGGTGTGGGGTGCAGGCAGGGCTGCAGGAGGCAGGCGGCCGGTCCCGAGCTCGGTGCTGCTGCACGGGCACTACCTGTGCCACCCCAGCTCAGCACAGCACTGGCTGAGAGTTGTGGGGCCTTTGGGGGCTGCCAGGTAGGCTGTTTGTCTGAGCAAACCCGTCAGCACATCGCTCAGTAACTGAGCTCTGAAGTTCTCTGGTCCCCAGTGGTCTCTGTTAGAAGAGTATCATGAACGGGAGCCACAATTTCTAAATTTTGCCTATTGCAACCTGCTTTCTTACGTTTACAGATCACTCCAGCAGAAATCTTCACACTGAAGCTGCACATGCACAAAAATCACTTGTATCTGGTTGCCCAAGTTTCTTACCTTCTTTGGTTCTGCCTCAGCTGTCAGGTAATGAAACGGGTTTTTGCTGCACTTCCCTGGAAGAAGTGTTTATCGTTACCGGTGGTTACACGCAGCCTTGTCTTTATACAGACTGAGTCGGTATGTGGATGCATGGGTAGACTTGCAAAAGATTACTTTCTGTATGCTTGACTCACTTCACACAGTAACACATTTCACAACGATAGATGTTATGCAATCTTTGTAACAAAAAAAATTTAGTGCCATGATGGCTTATGCCAGTCTTCTGTAGGAAAATATTCAACGTACAAATATACCTAAACCAAACCACAATGGCCTTGAACCAAATCCTGAATTCAAGATACTCACCAGATTCAGGGTTGGGATCATATACTATTTGCACACACATTCCCTTAGCCAGAGGACTGGTATCAGCAGTGAACAGACCTGAAGGAGCTGCCTCAGCTCCTGGACCAGCCACGTGCTCCCGCTGAATCCGTTCTGGGTTGCAAGATGAGACCTTCTTGTGCGCCATAGCCTCCCTTAAATCCAGATCCTTTCCCTGGGAGAGCATTGTGGTATCACCCAGCAGGTTCCCAGCGGACAAGTACAGTGTCTGCGCTGAATCTGTACCCATGGGAGGAGGATCACACGGGATAATCCCTTGCCAGATTGGGATCAGTCTTTTGTCAGACAGTAACTGACTCCAACAGTGAACAAGGTTTTAAGAAAGCATGGCTCTAGCAGCTCTGGTGTTGAGCTTACATGAGTCAGAGTACATTATCTGGGCTTTTGATAAACATGTCATTATGCTAGACGTGACACTATGTTATGTCACATGTGAGTATCTATTTACATTTGAAAACAGAAAAGGTCATATGGTGCACAGCAATGATAATCAGTGCTGGAGTGTGGATTGTATTTGCACTCCCAACTTCTCACCAACTCCATAAGAGAGAACCTTGAGAGCACCATGCTGAGACCAGGAACGGTGCCAGTGTAGGAAAAAGGAAGGAGAAATTAGACTAGTAGGGGTCTCTGACCACTTTTAAAGACACAGCCACAGAACATGCACATCTTTACACACTGATACACTGAAGGAAGGTCACTAGGGTCTAGCAGCAGCAACAAAGCACAGATCACTGGGGGAGAAGAAGAAGCAAAGGTGTGAACAGTGCCTTCTCACCAGCAGTAGCTGGTCTTAAGTAGAAATCTCTCCCTGCTAATCCATACAGTAAATGAATTTGCAGGGCAGCACCACCCAGCATTATCATGAAGGAGCAAAGGACAAAGCTTGTTTCACAGATGTTGGTGTTACACGGCCAGAAAGAGAGAAGATGGGAGGGAGGAGCTGCTATATGATACCAGGTCACTCGGTGACCTCTTTACTGGGTGCAAACAGTTCCAGCACTGAATAGCATCCAGTGCAGGCAGCCAGCAGGTGCTGGCAAGCTGTTGTTCAGAACTGGCAAGCAGAATATTTTGAGGTTTCCATTCCAAGTTTTGGTTCAACAGAGATTTCAAAGAAATGATGATTCATGTTGAGTTCTGACCAAGAAGTGGTGTCAGATTTTGTTTCAGGGTTGGCTCTTTGATTGGAGGTCTTGCTCAGCCTCCGTGATGCACTATTTTGTGCTGCCATGTGCCACACGATGTGCATCAATGGCACAAAGACAACAAGACCAAAACAACACAAAAAGGAAAAAAAATGTGTAAGTGGGGTAAAAGAGCAAACTTGTATAGGTCAGCATAAGTAGTTGTATATCAGAGACAAAGCATTATTGAGCTTTTTTGTATAGAGCTGCCACAAATCTCATCTTTCACTGCTTTATTTGCTGGTCTCATAATAATCTGCAATTATAAAATATGCAATGCTATTTTAATAAGAATGTATCCTCTGGCCCACAATACAGATTTTCTGAGGGCTAGAAAAATTAAAATCCAGAAAACAGAGAGAGAAACAGAACTCCTGTTTTGCACTAATGTAAGATTAGTAATCTTATGATATAGAAATAGATACTTCTCAATAAATTGTGGCAATATAATAATATTGCTGCGTTATTACTAAACAAAGCACATTGATAAGAAGTTTGTGCAACTGGAAATAAGATACATAATTGGGATTGTTGTAGTAGAGGATGCTGTATCTCATTTGGACATGAGACTAATAGCATACAGCTTCAGTTATGGTATCATGGGAAGGCTGGTGGTTGTGGGTCTTGTTTCAGATGATCCTTTTCATACCACCGTCCAAAAAGCGTCACAGTGACGATTGGTTTTGTTGGTCTTGTCTTATTTATCAAGCGCCCATCATTCAACACCTGATTGAAAAAGGCAAGAGAAGGACGTAGTTAGAGGAGTACACATATGAACATGCTAAGAGCTCAGAAAGATGTGACAAAACAGGAAGAAGGTACGTCAGACCATATCTCTTACTGAAACTAGTGACTTCATTAAAAGGTATTTAATAGATCTGATTATTCACTATGAGCAAGGTCACTTTGGCTGTTTTGAAAGAGTTTATTCCATTACTACCCTGCAGAGAACCTAGCATGACACAGCTCCAGGGTGTCCCATTACCTCGAACTCCCCGGGGGCCAGCTGCACCCCGCTGTACAAGACTTCTGGAAAGACGTAGTTCGTGCCAAAGGTGCCGCTGAGGGAGAACATCTCAAACTTGGTCTGTGCAGTCTGCACCGGCTGCCCGCACGTGTTCAGGTCTGTGCTCTTGCACTTGAGCAGCGTGCATATCTACGGGGAGGAGAAGACAACAACATACTTGGCAAGACAGAAACACTCTGGTAGGAAAGCCTTGTGTCATCAAAGCTAGTGTGTGTCAGAGCAGGTGACCATCACAGGATCTCTTTCATAATCTTTAAGCAACTCCTTTTCAGTTGTAGCTTATTTTTTCAACTCTTGATCTGACTGGGGGTATTCCAGAGCTGCACTGCCTTAGTAGTTAGAAATAACCTTAGTTTCTGAAGTAAGTGCTGCCAGAGCACCGTATTTCATCCCTGAAGGTCAATCCTGTCACTTCCACTAATTCTTCCAATTTTCAGTTCTCTCATTTGAAGATTCCCTTCTCACATGTCTTGGTAAGATGAGTTTGTGAATGGAAATTTTAGGCAAATGAAACAAAGTCCTCCTCATGGGTACCTTGTGCAACTGTACACACACGTCCTCTTACTGGTATTTGTAGATGTTGCTAATGACAATTCATTAGATGATCTGGTAGTCCATGGGAAATCTGAATTTTATGTTCTCCATCCAAGTCCTGGTGAATATATGTCAAGGTGATAAAGTCAGCATCCTCTGTTACAGTTCTGTGTTAGCAGTTGTAGCACATAGAGGAAAGTAGGAATGGCAATGTTTTGTCCTTAAAGTTAGTTCTCCAGGTTACAGCTGATAAACGTTTATGGACACCATGAAGAAATATGAAATAGGGCTAGCACCCCTGTGAAGGTTCAAAGGATATTGGCTGGTTGGCTGTGACCTGGTCAAGGTCAGGTTGGACTGGGCTCTGAGCAACCTGATATCTAGTTGAAGATGTCCCTGCTCACTGCAGGGGGGTTGGACTAGATGACCTTTAAAGGTCCCTTCCAGCCCAAACTATTCTATGATTCTATGGTTTTGCTGACAGGTGATGGAGGAGTTTGTCTATTTGTGTCAGATATTGGGGGATAGAAGAAGTGCATTTGCAAACATCAGAAGTATTATTCATCAGCATATGTGGTTTCCTGTTGAAATGCAAACAAGCAGAAATAAAGAATCTAATTCTCTCAGAATGTTCTGAGGAAATGAAAAAAAAAAATACTGAGGGGAAAAAGGAAGAGTAGAAATTCCTGTCTTCTCTAGAAAATTCAGTACTGGTAGAGACCACCTGACAGCTTCCACAATCACTGAAATAAATTTTCCAAGTGAGCTCACCAAGAACTGAATTTATTCAAGCTACCTTCTTAAATGTATTAGATGGGCTAAGACCTCCCCCCATATCCTGGAGTCTGTACCAGCTGATATGCAAAGACCATGTTGACAGACAGAAGTAAGTAACTAAAAAACCAATAATCTGCTGGCACAATAACTTAATTATGAAGGCAAAGAAGGTTTTCTAATATGACTTTAGGCAAATTCAATCAGGATGTAACTCACTGTCTTCCCAAACATTTGATTAAAAGAGAGGAAGAGTGGACATTTCCAGTAAAATTCATATCCCATTTTAGTAAACTTCATTACTATGATTTGAGTAATGACAAAAAATTAACATCTCTGTGACTCTGAATTGTCAGAGCATCTCATAAAAATAGATATGATCAACTGATTTTTTAATAGCAACTGTTTGAGGAAGATTACACAGGAGATTCAGAACACTTACTGCAGATAGTCACAAAAGAGAACCTAAATTTAGCCAATATTGTACAGCTGAAAAAACAGTGAGTGCACTCTGGGAACTTAGAAGAGATTTAGAGACCTCTCCACTGCATTTGTTGGATTTAAAGGTAAGCAGGCTTGGACATTTTAGCAACTACTTCCCATTGCTAACAAATAGGACACCAGGACTCCAGCATACAAGAAAGTCATCGTCTTCCCCGCTCCCAGAGCTGAAGGTTTCTCTCTGTAAAGAAGCTTCCTAAAATAAGCACTCTCCCTCCAAAGAATCATTACCTGCAGATAGTATTGTCCTTCAACAACATGAAGCCCGTCAAAAGCACCTAGCACATAAACTTCATCTTCTCGTTTCCCTGCCATCTTGTAGCTCAAGTGACAGCAGAGGTCCTTCTGGCAAACAGTGAAATTCCCCTCAGGCTTAGTGAGCTCAGTGAAAGTGAAGCAGTCGTGGAAGATGAGTCCTCTGAAATCATGGTTATTCGGTGAGAATCTTTTGACACTTGAAGCATATGAGCTCCAGTTGACAGCAGGTGGGAAGGCAGGAGAAAGGCGAGGGTGTGAATCTAGTTCAGCAACGAGGAGATGGCCATCCTTAGTTTTCATACTGTAGTAGTATGTTCTGGCTCCGTCTGGTGCATAAATACCACTCCCTGAGGAGAGTGCAATAGTCAGTCCAAAAATGATTAAAAGATTCATATTGTCCTTTTAATTGTCCCTACTGCTAGCTTATCCGCTGTTTTCTAAATATTACAGAAATTTTAGTCTCACCAATGGTGACCACTAGCAACTCAGTACACAGAGATCCTGCTTTGGCAGAGAATAGGATTTATTTCCCTGGGTGAGATCTGCTCAGCGCAGATACTGGTCTAGCTGAAATATACTATCCTATAAACTAAACTCTAGAAAATCAGTGCTACACTCTTAAAAGAAAATGCAGGCTTCTTAGCAGCGTTACTGCAACAGATCTGAAAATTCATTTTTAACACATTTCCACAACTGTGTTAAATACAGCTACAAATAAGTCTTTTATTTGGCCAGAATAAATGGAGCCATGTGTTGGGTTTACAAGTATATTTATCGTTTGGCATTCAGTTGCAGAATTACCGGTGGAGAGGAAAAGAACCTAAGCTTCAGAAGTTTCTACTCAGATAGAAGGGGCAGTAACTTCCTACTTCTTTAGAGGCATTAAAAGAAAGAAAGGAAAATCCTAGGAAGCCAGGGAGAAGAAAAGAAAACACCACAAGTTTTGCTGTGCTTTGTATGGCACCAGTAGGAACAGGGGTTGTCAGGTTTAAAATTTGGTGACTAGACTCTTCACCTTTCAAATATTATACTCCTCTGCAAAATCACCTTGCAGAACAGGGAATAAAGATTCATGGCTATAAAGATTTTTCAGACAGAGTGAGAATTAATTACCTGTCATTGACAAGATGATGTTGTGAGTATTTGCTGAAAGCAAATTGACACCCATGCCCATAGCCCAGGCAGAGTGAAACTCAACCGCAGTCAGAAATGGCAGGACGTTCATCCAAGCCGTTGGGAAGAGCACGGTGTCCACCTGCAACTCGCTTACCAGGACCGCGGCAGGCTCACGGAAAAGGATGTCGAAGCACGTGAAAATGCCAAACTTCCCAAAGGGGGTCTCAAAGGTGACGGCTTCTGGCTCTTTTGGGTAATTAAACTGAGTTTCTGACATAAAGAGATTATACTATAGGGGAAGGAAAAAAAGAGAAACCGGTTAAAGGCACTTACTGCAGTGTCCTGGAGTTATTCCCTAAAACAGTTCAGAATGACTAGAGAAGTTTTTTGACCTGTGTTTGAAACCTTCACTTGTAGGAAGTCAGGCTAAAATGCTATGATCAGCATAGTGCCCAAAAAGTGGATATGGGGAGACACATATTGCCCTGGCATCTAGCTAGAAAAGCAGCTGGCTATCTGCAGGTCTGTTGGTGTCAGCCACCTGCAACTCCCATAAAAATAATCTCTCCACTCTCCCCACCTAGTTTATAATTCCTGTGACGCAAAAGACACACAGAAGAGAAATAATAATGGAAGAGGAGCATTGGTGACCTTGGTGTGGAGATGCACAGAAGGACTGGAAGCACACAGCACCAGAAGGAAGTGCAAGACAGTACAGGGACACTGCAGAGCAGAGAAGAAAACAAAGGTGGTGGTGATGGGGGAAAAGCAGATGATCTCAGCCAACGGAAAAATCCAAGTTTGCGACATTCACAGCTTTCCAACATTTTCCTTCTTCCATCACATTCACTTTTACTAAAAGAGTCCTTTAATCTCCGGGTGGCCTGGACAGTAAACGCATACCACCAAGCCAGAAAAGAGGTTCAAGTTTACTGAACTTGTAACTCAGTGCCTGGGCTGTGCCAGGATGGCACACGGGGGACCAGACTCACATTATCCATGTCCCCTTCAACCAATTTGCTTACAAAGAAATATCTTGGCATCGCCTCTGAAGAACCAGGTGAAATACTGGGCCCAAAGTGCATTAAATAAACAACTGACTTCAATCTAGCCACATTGGCATGATATGTGGCACATGACCCTCAAACAACTTCAATGAACCTTGCAGGTAGGCACATAAAACTGAAAGAAGATACTTGCATTGGGTGCAAAGGAATGCACCCATCTCTTTTTACACCCAGCTTAGGTTCATGGTTTTGTCCACATAATTCCTGTTACGCAAAAAATGTGCTGATACATCATCAGAAAACAGATAGATATGAAAGAGCCTGTCTTCCTTAAATCAGACTACGCATCTAAGACGAGATGCAGATGAACATTTTAAAATCTTGGAACCTGAAGAGGTAGTCTGGTGAAAACCTGAAATCTAAAGCTGCTTAAGCAGCAGGATTTCCAGTAATAGGGAGTTAACGAGGAAGTCAACCAAAATCATATGCCACTAAATTGGACCTGCGCAATTATTTTTCATTCTCGTCTGTTTTGAGAAACATAGCAGCAAATGCAAATTTGGAGTCAACACTTCACAGCAAGAGAGAGATTCTTTTAAATTATAAACAGGAGCAAAAATCTGCCATGGGACTGCCATTTAATTCTGTTGCCAAATGGAGATATTTTGGAAGTAGTGGAAAAATAGCTCCTGAATTTCCAAGGCCACTTTACCTTGTGGTAACGAGCCACCAGTTTCCCCTCCGGGTCAAAGACGACATCGGTGTTGTACTGATAGCGACCGTCACTGGGGCAGCCGGGATCGCTGGAGTTACACGGCTTCTTGTCCCCGATGTTTGCAACCACATAGATGGAGTTATTCCTGGCCATGCAGCTGAGTCGTTCCTGCACCGGTGCTGGAGCAAATCTAATGCATTTTAGAAAAAAAGACTAACAATATCTGTGCTGTCAGTGGTGTCCATCACTGGAGTGCTGAGGGCATGCCGGCAGCACCTCCGATCCTGCAGTCATGGCAGGGCATGCAGATACACGGGGTGGCTGCAGCTTTCCCTCAGGTTGCTTCCTGCACTTTGGGGCAGGTCCTGGAGCCTTCCCATCGGCGTCCGGAGGGACACGCCGCCCTTGGGCTGCCTTCCAGCACCCCTCGGCACCCAGAAAGTGCTCTGCAGCAAGCGGGTAATCCTAGGGCTGGGAAAGGGCAGGAGAGGAATCGCTGGGCAGAGGAAGAGACTAACTTGGTGTCACACAGGAGAATATCTTAGCGTCTGCCACAACAGCACCTGAGGACCATAGCTCTGGGCCCTCCACACACCAAGCAGAGCTGAGCTGTGGAATAGTGATGCGGTCAAAGCAATTCATCTCCTCCCACGAACGGGAGCACGCAGTCCTCTAGCCATGGCATGAACAGCAGTGGGATATTCCTTTCAAGATGTGACAGGCCATGTGCCATAAACTGGCAGCACCTCTGAAGCACCCGTACCAGGCCGGAAAGAAAGCAGACATCACCCTCTGTAAAGTGGTGATGCATATGGCTTTGCAAGGTGTGCATAGGCCATACAGGAGGACCATCATGCAAGATACATATATAGCACCAAGGCATAGGGCATGCCAGACTGTGATGGCAGACATTATATTCCCACAAGGCACTAATGAAAAACCTGATTTAGGACAGTGAAGAGACACACAGATCACCTTCACAAAAACTAACTGTGAAGAACTGGAATAAAGACCTGCTTAGACACGCTGCCACCCCACACCTCACATTCACTGAAGGACTCTGTATATTTTAACTACTTGTGTCTCAGTAAAAAGTTGCACATCCTGCACTTCTCCCCGTTGTGAATCTTTCCCTCAGGACCATTGAGGAATTCCATCCTCACAGATGTAATATTGTATGGTCTTAGCACCTCATCATCGAGCAGGTGCAGAAAGCAGCAGTGAGAAAGGCAGACCACAGCTGTACTTTCATGGCTGAGCACTTATTTCATGCTGTATGGATCTGAAGTCCAGCGCTCAGCTATAGGTTATCATGTCCCTGCTGGAATATGACATTTGAATGACAGATCATGTTCTACAGCACAGAGACTCTAGCAATTCAGATTTTATCTTATCTTAACTGTGAAAAATTAAGATTAAAAATTTTGGGGTTTGTATCACTCAGAGATTTGGACCTTGACTACTGAACTCATCACCTCTGTTATTAACTACTCTGAAACAATTTCTTGGCTGTCCAGAAAAATGGTATGTGTGCGTTTATGCATGCTATATTTTATACATATGAACATAGCATTTGTAAAAAAACAAACCAACAAAACAAATAAAAACTAGTGTTAAGAATTTCCAATCAGTTCTATTCAAAATAGTGTGCAAATACTGAAAGCAGAATGAGAAGCAGCATATTATGGCATCAAAGTTTTTCCAAAATAAAAAAAAAAAAAAAAAGACGTTTCCTCTACATTTAGCAACCCAAATTCTGTATGTTGTTTGAATTTCTCACTAAAGTGCTGTGCTGGTTTTCGCTGGGATAGAGTTTTAAACTGTCTTTATCTCAACCCATGAGTTTTCTCACTTTTACCCTTCCGATTCTCTCCCCCATCCCACGGGGGGGAGTAAGCGAATGGCTTTGTGGGGCTTAGTTGCCAGCTGGGGTTAAACCACAACAAGGGTCTCTAATTCAAAAAACATTTTTTTTAACAGGGTTCTCTAGTCTATTAGTCATGGACATGCTTTATATTTTCTCGTATAACTTACCTTCATATGCAACTTTAATTGAAACTTAACCTCATGTCAAAAGCATTAGCAATTCCTAGGCATTTATTGGGAGCATGACTCTAATGACTCCATGAGACACTAGTTTGAAACCACATAAATCACTGCAGAAGAAATCACCTTGTGGGATCAGGGCAGGGAATCCAGTTCACCGCTGGATAAGGGATATCCTCCAGGTAGGGGTAGAT